TTGTTGGTAATTTTTCTGCGTTCTAAAAAATGCTGGGTTCAGCTTGTTGGGTCATTTTATTGGGTTGTTTTTAATAAAAAAAATAATTTACCCAGGTGCTGGGTAGTTTTTCCTATGTTCTAAAAAATGCTGGGTTATTTTTTTTTTTAACCCAAATGCTGGGTTCAGCTTGTTGGTTCATTTTATTGGGTTGTTTTTAATATTTTTACCCAGGTGCTGGGTCATTTTTAACGCTGGGTTATTTTTTTTCTACTCAATCGCTGGGTTGAGCCTGTCTCCGACAAAACAACCCAGCCACTGAGCTACAGTCAAAGCGTGGGCATTTTGAGCCAACTACAGGAGAGAGCGATTCTCTATATTCATTTATTTTAGGGGGAAGTCTCGTACTGGCAGGGATTGTAGGTGGGGGAGTGAATGTACAGCGCTCTCTCCCACCTTCAATACCACGACTGAGGTGCCCTTGAGCAAGGCACCGAACCCCCAACTGCTCCCATGGCGCCGCAGCATAAATGGCTGCCCACTGCTCCGGGTGTGTGTTCACGGTGTGTGTGTGCACTTTGGATGAGATAAATGCAGAGCACTAATTCAGAGTATGGGTCACCATACTTGGCCACATGTCACGTCACTCACTTAAAGTCTTTCTTTTTTTCCATAATTTTCCATACTTTTCCAAACACCGTAGGAGCCCTGACAACTAAACAGTTTTTTTTATCTTAAAACATGTGCACACACAGTTTCATTCTCACCTTGAAAATGAGTGCCAGGTGGTTGGAGTGTTTCTCCGCATTCCAGGGCGGCTTCGCACAGGACATCTCGATAATAGCACAGCCCACACTCCAGACATCACAGCTGCGACCGTACTGCTGCCCTCTCAGCACCTGCAGTCACACAAATGACAATCACAACCCCTCATATGACACTTGAGACGCGTGTAGAAATGCACAGACCATTTAATGTACTGCAGCTGCAAGAAAAATACGTAAAAAAATGTAATATAAAAATCTAACGCAACTGCCATTAACTGACAAGCAGCAGGTGCATGCAGGGGCTCACTGGTTCACAGGACTGCACACCCCTGATCTGTGCTCTTCACAGAACTCGGAGAACGGGGTATGATGTCATCTCTCATCAATAAGCGACTGATTTACTCCTTGAATGCACAGTCACCCTCACAGCATGAGTCACAGACGGGAAAGAGCGCGACGGCTATTCTGCAGCTCAACACTCTCAGTCCTCTGCTTTATGAATTTCCAAAATAAAAGCCCTCAGAATCACTGCAATTCGCCACAGTATCTCGTTTCAAATGAGCCCCAGTACACTTGTCCATAATTCTCTGACATTTCAGTGTTATTAGTCATTGAGGGCCAAATAGGACAAAACTGTGCTACAAAGTTTTAATCTGAAATCCTGTACAAAACCTAAAAAGCATCAAGGGGTCCACTTCGACATTGTCAGTTTGAATGAAAACTTTGGGGGATTTTTATAAGTACAGGCATGTAGAGAACCCTGGATATATACAATATACAATACACACTGTATTCTATAATGTTGTTTCTGTGTAATGTTGTTTCTGCAGCCCAAGACTAAGCTAAGCAAGGTTGAGCCTGGTCAGTACCTGGATGGGAGACCTCCTGGGAAAACTAGGTTGCTGTTGGAAGAGGTGTTAGTGAGGCCAGCAGGGGGTGCTCACCCTGTAGTCTGAGTGGGTCCTAACGCCCCAGTATAGTGACGGGGACACTATACTGTCAAAAAAAAAAGCACCGTCTTTCAGATGAGACCTTAAACCGAGTTCCTGACTCTCTGTGGTCATTAAAAATCCCATGGCACTTCTCCTAAAGAGTAGGGGTGTAACCCCGGTGTCCTGGCCAAATTGCCCCCCTGGCCTTTGTCAATCATGGCCTCCTAATAATCCCCAACCACTTGATTGGCTCTATGACTCTCTCTCCTCTCCACCTGTAGCTGGTGTGTGGTGAGCGCACTGGCGCTGTTGTCCTGTGGCTGCCGTCGCATCATCCAAGTGGATGCTGCACACTGGTGGTGGTTGAGGAGAGACCCCCCCCCCACATGATTGTAAAGAGCTTTGGGTGTACAACAATACACAATAACGCACTATATAAATGCATCATTCATTCATTCATTTAATTGATTGAGTTAACCAGCTAAAGAATTGACTTACTGACAGTACCTTTATATTAAAATGCCCAAACAAAACAAATTAAAAGGTGGCATCAGCCAGCCATTCAAGTGATGAACTGATCCAATGCAAATGTTTTATTTCTCTGCACCATGTATCGTGAAGTGGGGGCACACAGGTGCACAACTTTCCTTGCCCTCTAAGCTCTGGACATTTAAATGTCTTTCCACAAAACCGTGGTCAAGTCTGGTGACCTCTGTGTGTGGTGTTCATAGTTACGTGGCCAGTCAGGAAAACAGGACAAAGTGGATTTAGATCTCAAGTTGAAATGAAAGTAAATTGCAGTTCTTTTAAGGCAGCCACAATTGGCTGACCTCTTAATTCCTTGTTGTTATTGTGTGCCCAAACTCTGTTTAATTAGGAAGCAGTTCAGCTGGCCCTGCCTCCCCCGGCAGCGTATTCATTACTGAAACCTCTTTAAAATGAACAAGCTTTCTTTTGTCTGGGAAGGTCTCTCTTTCACTCAGTCTCTCATTTTTCAACCAAGCCACCAGAGCTTTGAGCACAGTCTGAGCAGGCTAACGTCTTTACATAATTGAAATAAATGGACCCAAGCAAAGTGACTATTGCGTGCCTCAGTGTAAAACCAGATGGATGTATAGTTTTTCTACATTAGCTGCATTTTGACATATCAATAAATTCTGCAAACAAAAGAAACATTGCCATTGCAACATACTGTCCCATTTGAATGCAAGTTGTGAAATTAAGCTTTAATATTGTGTGTGTGACTTGCTATAACGCTGACCACACATGCAACTGTATTTACTGTAGTAAAGAGGCAGGTTATGCATTTTTAGATTCGAATGTTTACCTCAGGAGCCATGAAGGCAATGGTTCCCAGGAGCTGACCCTGAAACTCTCCCGCACCGGTGCCTTTTGAAGCCAGACGTGCCGCTGCCCCAAAATCAGCTATCCGCAACCTCTGGCCTGTGCTGTCTATTAGTAGATTGGCACCTGCAATGATTATAAGAAGACTGTGAGTGTAGAAACATGCAATAAAGCTCTGCTCTGCTACTGCCGATGTAGAGTGCTACCCTCAAATGTAGCAGAATTTTCTCGACTTGTTCATCTTAGAAGAACTGAGCTTATTTGAAATGCATTCTGGGATTGCCCTAGGGGTGGGCAGTATGACCGAAATTCAGTTTCACGGCATGACTAATTTTATTTCACGGTACCGATATATTTCACAATATAGTTATTTATATATGTAGTTATTCTGAACATCGACAAAAAGGGCATTATATGATTAATAAATTAAATACTTTAGAAATGAAAAGTACTTCACCACTTAACATTGTTTTAATTTTGGTAAATTATTTTAGTAAAAACACAACTGCCCACAGCCGATTGATATTAAATGCAACTTTTAGGTGCAATTAAACTTTAATTAAGGTGTTTCTGAATAATTTTTACATCTCATGTTATTGTTTTACTTCAATCAGTTCGTAATATCTAAATATTTTATACCGAAAAATTCTATTCAAAAATTACATTTACTTCCTTTTAATTTTGTCGAATACTATTAATACTAGTTATATTGTTTAAATTTGTTCCCTGCTATCTGCTTATTATACTGTGTTTTAAGAGGCTTGTTTTGCTCTTTTTGTGATATCTGGAAACCCTGCACCTGGAGCTTTAATCAAGAGAGGGACAAAGAGTTCAAAAGTGACTAGGAGGAGAGCAAAAGTATGCAAACTTTACCCACTGTTAATGCTGACTAAGAAGTTTAAACTATTACTGTGTATTTGACTCCAGCCCGAGACTGACACGCCGCTCATATTCGCCTCTCACTGCGTGTGCTGCATCATTGAAATGTGATCGCTTAATTTGAGCGCCATGTTGAGAGACATATCGAATTTTTAAAAAATAATACAGGTTGTTGCATTCTCAATATTTAGTAGCCTAATTTTGCCTCAGATACAGGATTAAGTACATTCACTTTAACAAGCAGGTTGTTCATTACCTCGGCCATTTCTATCTGTTACAACATTGATATATATGAACTGTTGTAGTCAAGTGAGCTTAATTCTTAATGCTTCCTCCATTGTGAGGCTGTGCGATTCTCTAAACTGTGCGAAACTCCAACCTGATTAGGTTGGGAACAGAGCTTAAAACACACCCAAAAAAGTGAAAAAGTCACTGCCCTCTACATCCATCAACACAAGAGGACACAAAGTAGGAAGGAAACCATTCCTCCTAGTACAGAGACAGTAGCAGTGTTTGCTGAAGCCAAGCTCCAGTAGCTTACCTTTGATGTCACGGTGGATGATCTGGTTCTCGTGGAGGTAAGCGAGACCTCGTAGAAGCTGCTCGGTGTAGTTGATGATCACACCCTCCTTAAAGGCACCATACTTATTTAAGAGATGAGACACAGAGCCACCTAAGAAAACAGGAGTCCGAGTATTACATTTATGGACTAGGGCAAAATCGGGCAAAAGAGCGACTCTGAAAAGTGTTGCTTATAAAGAGGAAAGTAGCCAAAAGGATCCCAACACTACCTATGGTACGGTCACGGGGGGAAATCCTTTCAATTCAATCAGAATCCACGCAATTGGGAATTTGTGCGAGGATAGATTTCGTAATAGCTTTAAGTTAGTCATGCAGATGCACCACCATGACCAAGAGAAAGCTGCTTGGTTTGAAACTGATAAATGGACCCGTTTTACTCTCTGCATAATTGTGGACAACAAACCTGCCATCCACTCCACAAACAGGTTGTAGTTGTTCTTCTCACAGGTTGCCCCAAGCATCCGTATGATGTTGGGGTGGCTGAGGAGGCCCATCATGCGGATCTCCTCTCGTAGTGCCTCCACCACCTCTTCCTGCTCTGAGGAGGTGTTCCTCACATACGTCACCTGAGGAATAAATATCACAGTTAAGTCTGCAAATGGTCTGTTCTGTCACTGCTGCCAAAAACAAAACATACTCGGCCCCGTCTGTGTCCATATTTAGTGCCTTTGTATATGTCAGGGGTCTGAAGGACTACCATTCTGCAGAGCCCAGCTCCAACCCTAATCAAACACACCTGAAGCAGCTAATCAAGATGTTTAGGATTACTGGAGCAGGGTTGGAAGTGAAGACTGCAGCAAGGTAATCGTCCAGGAACAGTGTTGGCTAGCCCAGGTATCCACCTTTTTCCTGATGCGTTTTAAATTATGGGAGGCACTTCCGGTTTGGGGAGGTTCCACTTAAAAAGATTGCAACAAATCATTTCAGATCATAAGATTGCACTACAAATAATCCTTATTGTCATTTTGACTGAATATGGGCTATACATTTATTTTTTATTTTCAGAAGTCAGGAGAATAACGTTATGCTTAGTATATAATTGTGATGTGATATAACACCGATATCCATAGAATAGCTCTTTTATTCTGCATTATTTTCCTCCTGATTATTTTCATGTTTCCTTTGTATTCCGCTGTAAGCAAATGAAAAAAAGACAACATATAGCCTACTGTGCATTTGTGGTCTGCTCTCCCGATTTAATTTATGATATAAACCATGAATAATTCCCTGGAATGCACTGGGAATCTTTGATTTTTCTCCGGTTTGTTTTCACACGGATGCTGTAAAATGTAATTGTTACGAAATATAGACATATATTACTATAATGATATTTAACACATCCGTAATATTGCTGCGGATAGAAGGAGGATCTTTTGGAGTTATTCGTGGTGTGTTAAAAAAGTAATTTTTAATGCTTTAACACTGATAAATTTCCTTTTAATGATCGATGGTTGAAGGGTGAGTAAAATAATGTCACCTCATTGTACCCAGCTTTTGAAAATGCTTATTATTGCGTTCATAGAGAAAACCTTTTGCTGATTGTTTACAGTGTAAACGGAAGTTACTCCCATAATTTGCGCAAGGCGTCATGGGGAGCAGGAAAAAGGTAGCTAGCTAACACCCATATCCTCCATAAACATGTCAGAAAAGAGCAAAGGCTTGTCTGAGAAAATGGTGAACATCAAAATGTGCTAAGGTAGGACTGATCGGTAACGTTTTCAAAGGTGAGGCTTGCAACCTAAAGATCATAAATTCATGGTGATAATCTCCTATGAAGTACTGTGTGGTGTGTGTCAGATATTCTCACCTGTTTGACAGCCATCAGAGTGCCAGTGCCCACATCCTGAGCCTGGTAACATGACGAGAAGGCACCCAGGCCAATCTGCTGACCTTTGAGCCACTCCATGCACTCCCTGTATGGCTGCTTTGCTTTGGTATGACCAGGCAGAGTCTCTGGTGTCTGACCATGAAAAGCAAAATAGGGGAAAAATGAAGCCAAATACAGAGTTTGATCGTGAAATTATACACAAGATGATATATTGCAGTCAAATCTCTCTAACTTTAAGGGCTACAACAGCTTGTCACTGGGCAGTACCCTGAAAGGAACATCTTTGGACCTTATTTACTGCTAAAAGATTAATTGTAGCACCTTATGAGGGCATATTATTACTTTTAATCGCAAATAGTAAAATGAAGTGATGCAAAGGCCATGTATGGTAAACCAATTTGTCCTCTGCATTTCACCCATCCAAGCACTGTTCATTAACTTCCCCTACCTACATTTCCTGCCGGTACTGAGACTTGTTTACAAGCTTATAAGTCGGAGTCTTTAACCATTAGGCCACAACTGTCCCTATAATAGTAGATAAGGTACAACGTTGTCCTTTTAAGAGTACTGCTCCAGTGACATGTTCTTGTACCCCTAAAGGTACAGTGGCCAAAATTATTAGAACACTAGTATTTTCATTATTTCTATCTTTTGCTGTAGTGTCAGTAGGAAATATCAGTTTACAAATCCAAACATTCATTTTGCCATTAATTGTAATAATCCAGCGAGATTTTTGTTTGCTCCACACAGAGATCTGATCTGATCATCATCAGTCTGTCTGGAGTGACATGAAGAAACAGAACAAAATGAAGTGTCAGTAGGAAATATCAGTTTACAAATCCAAACATTCATTTTGCCATTAATTGTAATAATCCAGCGAGATTTTTGTTTGCACAACAACCAGAGATCTGATCTGATCATCATCCAGTCTGTCTGGGATTACATGAAGAAACAGAACAAACTGAGACAGACTCAATCCAGAAGAACTGTGGCAACGTCTCCAAGACGCTTCAAGAAACCTACCTGCAAAGCTCCCTGAAAAACTCTGCGCAAGTGCACCTAAAGCTGCTTTAAACGCAAAGGATGCTCACACCAAATGTTGATTTAATTTAGCAAATAGAAGTTAATTGATAAAGAAAATCTATTTATGACATTATTTTTGACAGCGTCCTCATTTTACAGCATTTTTACACAAGTACCTAAAACTTTGAACAGTACTGTAGCTTTGCAGGTAGGTTTCTTGAAGCATCTTGGAGACAGTTCTTCTGGGTTTAGTCTGTCTCAGTTTGTTCTGTTTCTTTATGTCATTCCAGATAGACTGATAATGATCAGATCAGATCTCTGTGTGGAGCAAACAAAAATCTCACTGGATTAATACAATTAATGGCAAAATTAATGTTTGGAAATGTAAACTGATATTACACTACAGCAAAATATATAAATAACTGACTTAAAACCATTTTTTGCTGGTGAAAATACTAGTGTTCTAATCATTTTGCCCCCCACTGTACAGTTTTTGCACTTTTTTTTTTCGTGACAGTGTACAAACAATTCACCCTCATTTTTGCGCAAAGTTTACAATGATCATGCACTTACATCCACCTGAATAATGATCACGTCCTCTCCTTTCTCCACCTGTAACTGCGGGATGACAGGCAAGGCGTCTTGCGACTCAGACATGGCCATGACCACCGCCAGCGCCTCCTCTTCCTCAGCTTCCATCTTCTCCTTGCACTTCTGGTTCTGGGTCACGTCCTCGCTGTATGTGTCGTCGCTTGTGTTCGCCTGCTCCGGTGACAGCACCGCCACTTCGGACTGGAAGGTGACCGTGCTGTCTGCCGCGGGGATGGAGGTTTCCAACAGGTCCTCCATGCTGGAGCTGAGATCAGCCGAGGCGTCCAGACTGTGGACTTTCTCCTCCACTGGAGTGAAGACTGAGTCCTCGCTGGGGATGAGAGCAGATCCGCCGCTGCAGACAGCGCCATCTCTGGACCGCACCTCCTGAAGGTCCAGTTTCATGCTGCTCTTTGTCCCTGGGCTTAAAGCTTTAGCTCCTTCGGATGAGGCAGCGGGAGAGGGCCAAGAGGGTCTGGGCCAGTGGATCTGACTCAGTGGTCGGGCTTGGGTAAACACGGGCGAAGGCAGCTTCTCCGGCTCCTTACAGTTTAGTCCCTTCTGCAGAGGCAACTTACACTGGGTATTCAGTGAGGACTGGGCGAGTTTGTTGGGCACAAAACTCTGTGGCGGGGCTTTGGGGTTTTCTGGAGGGAAGGCAGAGGCGTTGGCCATGGACAGAGAAGGAAGGTTTGGGGGATGACCGGATGACGGGGAGTTCAAACACTGACTCACGGGTCTGTTTCGGGCCTGAACGGGGGGCTTTGGAAAATCAGCAGGGCTTGTGACGACGTTTGCGAGTCTCTCGGTTATATCGTCCACAGGAGCTGAACTGGCTTGACCTGAAAGCGCCAGCTTGGTGGTGGGCTGCTGTAGATCAGGGGTGGGAGAGTTTCTTTCGGTGGCGCATGGGGAGTTATGGGGGGCTGAGGGTTCGAGGAAAGCACTGGAGTGTGAACTGTGGGTCTGTAGGTCTTCTAGTCCAAAATGGATAGCGTCCAGGATGTCCATCTCCTCTGCGATGGCCAGGAGACGCCGGCGCATGCGGGCGTAGTGAGTGGAGCTGGTGATGTTAAGCATGTCCAGGAGCTTAACGAAGACATGAGGCACACGCGCTACCATACGAGCAGCGCTCAGGAAGATGCGACGAGAGAGTTTACCCACCATGGAGTGAGAGTTATCGATGGACTGCAGCGCGAAACTCAGAAGAGGCAGCAGCTTCTGATACCTACAAAGACAAAATAAATGCAAAAAAAAAATTAGAGTAAAGCACTTTGCATAAAGAGGGCAAACCGGTTTCCTTTTACTTTTTAATTCAAAAACTGAATATTGACTTATATGTTCAGTGTTGAGGGTAACGCATTACAAGTAATGCGAGTTAAGTAATCAGATTATTAATTCTTAGTAACTAGTAAAGTAATGCAATACTTTTAAATTTACAACAAAGTATCTGAGTTACTTTTTCAAGTTTTTTCGTTTTCCAATTTATTCACTGACACCTCTCATGTCCTGCATTGAGAGAAATTGGGAGTAAGTGCAGAGGCAGACACACTTCCTTCAGTCAGAGGCTTATTAATCTCACTTTTGGTGTGAAAAGGTAAAATATAACTGAGTTTTTTGTTATTAAAAACAAATAAGCAACCCCAGCCCAGGAGACAAAAAGTAACGGAATGCATTACTTTCCATAAAAAGTAACTAAGTAACAAGTTACTTTTATGGAGTAACGCAATATTGTAATGCATTACTTTTGAAAGTAACTTTCCCCAAAACTGCCTACATTTTGTTTACAACCCTGTTAATGCATGATGACTATTAACACCAAACACAAAAGAAAAAGCAAACAGACACCAATCTAGCAAGTTCCTAATGAGTGATGGGTATCACGACATATTTCCTAATTCGATTTGATTGTGTGATTCACAAGCTCTCTATTCAATTTGACTCGATAGAGATACAATGTCCATTTTGCTTACATAAAGAAATTATCTTGGGATAAATTAGACTTACAGACCGTTGACTGATTGTCTGATACATAAGGCACACAAAACTTGAGTTTCGCAATCATCATCCGATTGGTTGAATACTATAGGTTTTTCGGTAGAAGTGTGTGTCACTTTCTTTAGCCCTATTTGGACGGGATTAGTTTTACAGGGGTAGATGGGGTAATGTAATTTTACCACAGTACATCTGTAATATTAATGGCTGATTCGCACAGGATTAGAAATCTCAGTAAAACTATACCTGCCTGTCGTCACGTGCGTTTTACATTACTTCCTGAATGACATCACATCAAAAACGCGAAATTGGACCAGGGAGGAAACACTGTGTTTAATTTCGGTTTCAGAAACAATTCGAGACCATGGTGCATAACCACACCATTTGGGAACAGATTTATCGAATTGTTGTAAGTAAATGTCCAAAAGTCGAGGAAGAATTTGGGGACTGCGGAAAACTGAAAGAGAGAATCGACTACCTGAAAAGAAAGTATAGAGAGTGCATTAAGCACAACAAACGGACTGGCAGTGATCCACATTTGAAAAAAATTAATTGAAAATTACAGGAAGTGACGGCATATTTACGTATATTTTTACAGCTGGTCTAATCGCATGGGATTAGTATTACCTGAGGTAATTTCTCCGGACCTTTTTACAGAAGGTAAAAGTCGCCATAATCTTTACCGACATTGTCTGTAATTGTTACCGAGATGGTGCAATCGGACGGGACTAAAATAACTGAGAAGCTCTGGTAATAATTACTTAACCCCACCTCTCCATGAAAAACTAATCCCGTCCGAATAGGGCTTAACACACATCTGGAAACAAATCTGTCATGATGCCAAACCACCTCATGGAAGAAGAAAGCCGCCATTTTTACAACTCTGACAATGATTGTTTATTAGGATAAACTAAACACAGCATAGACTCTTAATGACTGAAGACAACATTGGTTGCATGCCAGTCTGTTATTATAGGAACATCGACTTTGATTGGCTGCTTTACATGTCGGTCAAGGACAGCCTTAGCCAATCAAAGCTGCTATGGAGTCCAGACCTCCTGTTGTCTGAAGGTCAGGCTATGCAAGACTAAGGTTAAATCTACAATCCTGGTACTTGTTCTGGAACACATTTTTTTAAAAAAGGTATAAATTTAATTTCCTTTTTATGCTTATTTAAATTTTATCAGTTGAAAATAATGAAATCACACAAACACGTCCTAAAAAAAATTTGTTTACAGGGTTGCAAAAATGATAAACCTTTATAATGGTTCATATTTAATAAATTAAGAACGGAGGCACAGTAAGATCTGGATGAATTTCTGTACCTCTCCCCAATGTTTTGGGCCTGGTTGCAGTCTCCACTAGACACAATATGAGGGTAGAATTCAGCAGGAAACTCCAGTAAGAGCAATCCAGCAGGAAACTCCAGTAAGAGCCTGTCGATCAGACACAGTCGACCCAGCAGTGCTTGCCAGTTATTGGCCTCTGTTTTAGAGCCCAAGATACAGTTCAGGACATAGTCAACTCCACCAATACCAATAGAGCCTGGTGGACAATCAGAGATGAAAACGTCTTCATTGAAAAGCAAACAAATATTACAGAGAGAAAGAGAAGAAAAGAATTGTCTTCAAAAAGGAACAGTTGATTCAAATATTATTTGTGACCCTGGAGCACAAAAGCAGTCTTAAGTTTCTGGGGTATATTTGTAGCAATAGCCAAAAATACATTGTAAGGGTCAAAATTATTTATTTTTCTTTTATGCCAAAAATCATTAGGATATTAAGTAAAGATCATGTTCCATGAAGATATTTTGTAAATTTCCTACCGTAAATATATCAAAACTTAATTTTGGATTAGTAATATGCATTGCTAAGAACTTCATTTGGACAACTTTAAAGATAATTTTCTCAATATTTAGATTTTTTTACACCCTCAGATTCCAGATTTTCAAATAGTTGTATCTCGGCCAAATATTGTTCGATCCTAACAAACCATACATCAATGGAAAGCTTATTCAGATGATGTATAAATCTCAATTTTGAAAAATTGACACTTAAGACTGGTTTTGTGGTCCAGGGTCACATATGTGCATCACAATTTGCATACTTATGTACTATTCTACGTGATACTTATGCTTGAATATACTGTGGGAATTGCTAAAATAAAAAGTGTGGAACGTGGAATATGATTTGTACCTGCTTTGAGGATTTCCCTTCCCACAGCAAGCTCCCCCATCTGCCCTTTGCACAGCTCCAGCAGAGTGGAGACGGACAGCTGACTGGTGCGACTACGAGCACAAAACACACTCAATTAACTCACTCCAAAAGCATTTAAAGTAAACAACAATGTGAGGCCTTTTTCTGAACTGATATAGGGTGAATTCATTTTCTGAGCAAAAATAATGATACTTGCTCATCCATCAAGTACTGATTGGATAATAAAAAAACAGAATTGAAAAATATTAGGGTGTGGTGATGCCCACAATAAAGAAAGATTATAAAGACAACCATTATTAATTTTAGAATAACACGCACCCCTAAATCATGTACAATAAGACCAGGAAGGTGTGGTGGAGCAAATAGTATACATTTTGATTTCATACTGAAAACTCTTTAAAAAAAAAAAATAGTATCAGCACTTCAGCACACACAAAAATGTATTATTCATCTGTCTGTTACAGCTCCTGACCACTAGGTGGCGATAGCTTGTTAACTTCAGACCATGATTTGATGTACAGCAGATCTTCTGATTGTTCACATCAGGGCAAATCACTATAAATGAACTCATTTCTCCACTGTGTATTAAAAACAGGCCCCAGTCAGAGGCGTTCTCAAGCGAGTACCTGTTAGCGTCTGCACACTTGACCAGGATGGTCTCCACCACGGGCCGCAGCAGCTGCTGTAATCGCGTCCGCTCTGACACCGAGTGACAGGGGGTGTAGACCAGCATCGCTCGCAGGGTTTTCTGAAACAAACATCAACTCTTAACATGGATCAACACAAGCAAAAACAAACGATGTTGCCATGTTCAGGACTGTAGCTTGAAGAAGTTTTCAGCTACTGTAGCCTCTTGACCCATAGAGAGCTGTGCAATTAGCTGAAATATTGAAAGTGCATATCAATTAGCTGCTGTTCTAAACAAAAAGTAGCTTTAAGGGTTTTTTGCCAAAATAAAAGCTTAATCATGTAACATTTAAAAAATGAAGAATTGGTCTAATTCTCGCTATTAACAAACCATTAACTACGACTTTTGCCTCAATAAACTCCTAATTAGCTGCTTATTAATAGTTAGTAATGTAGTTGTTAATTTTAGGTATTGGTTAGGATTAGGGATGTAGAATATGCTCATGCAGAATATGTGCTTTATAAACAATAATAAACAGCCAATATGTTAATAGCAGGCATGCTAATAAGCAACTAGTTAATAGTGAGACTTGGTCCTTATACTAAAGTGTTACCAAAAGAAATTAAGAAAGCAATTAATATTAATGTTGCAATTTTACAGTTGCACTGCAATTTTGTAAATACATTTTACAGAGAAACATTACAATAGTAATATTTTTATTTTGTTTAATACATTTAGTAGTAAAACAAAATCAACTATTATTATTATAGTCATTTTACATTTAACATTAAATTACAACATTTTTGGCCAAATTGCAGAGCCCTACCAACAAGTACAGCAAACATGGAGCTTTTATTAAAAAACAATGACAACAACATGAAATAAATCACAATAATCCGAATAATCGCAGTAAATATTTTTTTTCTCCAAATAATGCAGCCCTACACGGAGCATCATTTTTGTTTTTAGTTTTGAGTGCTAAGTTTCTAAATGTATCTTCAATTTTGATGGTTTCAAAGTCACACAACCTGGTTAACTTGCCTAGCGTTTACAAAGTGACAGATTCTCATTGACATAAAAGAAACGGTAGACAAGTGTTTTAAAAGCTGATAAGCCTCTTTACTTTTCTAGCCTACACACAGAAGTATATGTTCAGTTGTACTTTATTATTTGCATTAACACTGCGGTCAGGACAAGGCTGTGATGCTCCAGTCTAGAAGCACTGGACTCGACACCAACAGTGCAGGACAGTGAGTGTGTGAGAAAGAGTTCACCCTGACCCTGACCCTGACTCCAGAGAGAGCTGGGAGTGGTGACTGATAGCACATCGCACTGGAGCGCGGCCCAGCATTGATTAACCCACCATACACTCCCCTCCTGAAAACAAACACATTCTACCGCCTACACACTCACAACACTAAAGGCTAAAATCCTGGCTCAAATAATGCTCTTCTCCCTGCAAAAAAATAACTCCCAAGTCAAGAATAAATAGTGAAACATGACATTTTAACTCGCTGCATTTAATACACAAGCAGACTTCACATAAACGGCTACTTCACTACGCTGCACTGTTCACAGAGCAGTCTAACGCAGGGTAACATCCCAAAGGCTTTTGTCCCTAGTATTTTTAGTTCATATAGACGGCCCTCTTTCTGGTGCGTGTTCGAAGAATAAAGGAAAACTGCTGGAAAGCCCCGAAAGGACAAAACGCTTGTTGTTTTCATAGAGGCGGCTCACTGGAGCACAGAGCCCGAGGGAAAGACACCATCCCAGAAGTCCAAGCAGCAAGAGCTATTGTTTTTTTTTTTTTTTAAAGGAAGAGAAATAGGTTAAGAGACAAAGAAAAAAAGAAACCTTTCTTTTCCAGCTTCAGTCTGAGGATCCCCGCTGTTTCCAGACTTCCTGGTTTGAAGTGAACTTTAAAACTAGCCAGCGTGGTTCGTTGCACTTTAGAGCTCAGTACGGTTCTGATAACCTCCGATCAAAGTTGACCAAAGGAAAAAACATATCTAGACTGCTTTTATATCTAGCAGAAATAAATGGATATCAGCCAGAACCAAAATTAACATTTTGGCACAAGTGAAAAGCATTAAGGGCCTGATTTCTGTTTTATTTCTTGGGAATTTTGTCATTTTTCTATTGGCTGAACAGTGGTAATGATAAGTATGACAGCGTCAAAGTGATTGTGAGTATTTGTGCGCGGTGCACTAAGTGAAGAGCATCAGTGGTTTCTATTTACATGTTTTTGAAGCATTGAGCATTGTAGCCAATCTCAGACACATCTATTGATCTCTTGATCACAATGTGCAATCAGAGGCATTTCAGTTTTATAATTTATTCAATACTGCTTAAAATTCTACTCAAAATGCCAGTGCTTTTGTTTACCGCATGGCCGCGAGCTCAAGTTCTGCATGCTTGCGAATCCTGTCATTACAACAAAAAAAACCTGTAAACACAATGTAAATGAGATTCACTGTGCAGTGTAAACAGATTTTTTATTTTACACAAGAATTTTCACAAAATTGCAGTCAGTTGAACTGAAGTGATTGACAATCTTGGCTTGCTTTCGTTTAATAATCCATTTATAATATGAATGTTATATTGTTCATGCTGCTAACTACATACTGGAAAGTTTCTGATTGACAACCGTATTTAAAATTCAGGACTGAATCCAAACTCAAAATTCAAAAAGTCATTTGGTTCTTAGTTCTTCAAAGAGACAACTTTTTGTAAGAAGATTGCACTTTTTGTATAACTTCTTTATATTGGTACCTTTAAATAAATATTTTAAATGTTTCTTTTGTGTTTATTTGCTAGAAAGCAGAAAGTGGTTGCTATGTCTAGATATTTTCTAATTAGATTCAAATTATTTAATTTTTTTAAATTCGGTTTAATTAGATTAATTTTAGAAATAAACAATGTACTTCATAACAACAATCATGTCTTTCGTGGGTGACAAACAAAAGCACAAATATTTAAATATATTTCGAATATTGGAGAAATATAGATTTTTAGCTATATCACCCAGCCCAATTTGGATGTGTCCTTGACATGATGGAGAACAACTGGACTGTACCCTATAGGGCAGGACTTTTCTGAATGTGCCTCAGTTAAGGAGTGTTTTCCATTCAGACCAGCTCACGTGAACATCTACATTAGCGATGAAAATCTGAATTTGATGTGAACAAAGCTAAAGACAAAAGTGTACCACGACAATGTTTTGACCCGAAACTCATCTACTTTAACCTGTGCTGATGACTGTAGGAGCTCTTGGTGAAGAGTTGGTGCAGTATTGTGCAATTTCCTTCTCTCTATGATCATAACAGAAGCATCACGCTGTAAGGGTCTCATGTGACTGAAGTGTTCACATGATCACAGCAGCGGTCAGGCATGTGAAACACTGGTCCACATGTGACAGCACTTCACCGTCAGCATGCACGACACTTGGGCATAATAAAGACTAGAGCAATTGAATAATAAAGACTTCTGCTTCACATAAGTGCTTAAACAACTCAGAAAGCATGTACGCTATGCATGTAACCTGAGATGTAGTGCACGAAACCAGTGCAGCCTGATTAATGCACACACTGATTCAATGTCATGATACTTTAGCAGAGGCAAGGGTGGTGTCAAGAATACAGAGGGGTGTAGCATCTCACCAGTGCTGCTACATAGACTTTGTAGACGGGGTCAGCGCAGACCATGGAGAGCACGCTACAGCAGGACTCCACCACCACGTCTCCGGACACCTCCCCTGCAGCTGTCCCAAGCCCCGCCCCTGCACCCGCCCCGGCCAAAGAATGCTCGCCAGACACACAAACATGGCTGGTGCCGGCTTGTCTCGCTTGCCTAACCACCAGAGAGGAGTCGACCAGACTCTGTGATGCTGCCTATCCTGACCTCTACATGACCTCCTCTCAGAGTAAACACAAACAGGACAAATCTGAATGAAGCTTCATTAGTTAGCGCTGTCTGCCGCTCTGACAGCTTGGGCTTGATGACAGCAGCTTTCTTAAACTCCATCTGTGTTTGGGCTTGCTGCGTCCAATTAGCATCCTGCCTGCTTGGGTTTATGCGAGACTCTTTTCTCATTTTGTGCTCCAGGGTCACATATTGTCTGGACCTATAAATAGGCTCTCCCTCCTGTGATGTGGACAGTCAATGCTAGTTCCTGTGATCATTCGAAATATAACACCAGGTGATGTGGGATAATCTGGAATATTTTCCTGCTACTTACATATAGACATGCAGTGATGGTGGAGTTTGTTTCTGCAGCCCTCTTCACACACCGTCAGACTTTCCTCATCTAGCATGTCCAACAGACAGATAGGGCACATCTGCTCCTCCTCATCCTTCATGCTGCTCACAGGAGTAGACACAAAAGTTATTAAGACACAAGGACTGATGAGGAATCCATTTTTTCTTGGACTTTTGAGATAAGAATGAACTGAACTCAAAAATGACTCGTTTTGACAACTTACTAGCATCGCACAGATACATCAGTACAATAACTACACCTTTTTTGTGGTTCAGAAACTTGGCTTGCCCACTCGGCCGGTGAGGTAAAAGCAAGACATACAGTGCCTTGCGAAAGTATTCAGTTTTTTTTCACGTTTTGTTATGTTGCAGCTTTATGTTAAACTGCTTTAAATTACTTTTAATATTATAAACCTGTTATATGCTTTGTCATTATGGTGTATGGAGTGTAGATTGATGCGGGGAAGAAGAAAAAAAAAAAA